AGAGACATTTTGTTGCCCAGAAGAAAAGATGAAGATTGGGGGCCCAGCAGCATGGCCCAGCAGCTAAAGTTCTCACCTGGAACATGCTGGGATCCCATATGGGCGCCGGTTCTAATCCCGGCAGCTCCATTTCCCATCCTGCTTCTGGCTTGTGGCCTGGGAAAGCAGTCGAGGACGGCCCAAAGCCTTGGGACCCTGCACCAGTGTGAGAGACCAGGAAGAAGTTCCAGGTCCCCGGCTTCGGATCGGCACAGCACCAGCCATTGCAGCCACTTGGGGAGTGAATCATCAGATGGCAGATCTTTCTCTCTGTCTCTCCTCCTCTCTGTATATCTGACTTTGTAATAAAATACATAAATATTAAAAAAAAAAAGATGAAGATTGGTCATCTGCATTTATTGGGGCTCCACACCTGTGCAAATACTCCTTAACATTAGAGGGTAAGTAAATACACAGCGAAAAACAGAGATCAAGATAAGATCTTGAGAAAAAAAAATTACAGTGTTTTGAAAGGCATCAAAGAATGTCAACAAGGAATTTTGAAAGCATAATCAAATGCTTCAGAAAGGCTTGAGGATATGAACCTTGAGGGAAGACTATTGGATCTGATTAACATAAAGTCACTTTTGATTGACAAACAGCTTTTGAAGGGGCATGTGTAAATAATGTCAAGGAACAATCAGGAATAGGAAAAAATGTTTATCAACACTCAGATTGTTGGGTAGATTTGTTTTAAATGGTCTCCCATAACCAGATTTGGAGAAAGACAAGGTAGAAAATATTGCAAATTACAATCTGGCATTGCAGGCCAAAAAACTGAAAACTCAAGTTTCCTGAATATTAGTCATCTTCCAGTTCAGGATAATCTTGATAATGAAATATATATATATAATATATATATTATATATTTATATTCCGTTTTGTGCCCAGGCGTGATTGCCTAGAGGATAAATCCTCGTGTTGCACTCCAGGAGATCCCATTTGGCACCTGTTCATGTTCCAGCTATTCCACTTTTATTCAGGTCCCTATTTGTGTCCTGGGAAGACAGTAGAAGATGTCGCAAAGCCTAGGGACATCTGGGACATCTGGAAGAAGATTCTTGCTTCGGAATAGGTTGTTTTTGTTATAGCTGTTGCCTACACTTGTTGAGTGGACCAGCAAACAGAGGAATATTCTGTCTCTCCTCTCTGTATATCTGCCTTACCAATAAAAAATAATAAAATCTTCAAAAAACTATTTTGGCATTGGCACAGAGGCTCATCAGGCTAACCCTTCGTGTTTAACACCAATATAATATATGGGAATCAGTTCTAGTCCATGTTGGTCCATTTCCAAGCCAGATCCCTGCTCATAGACTGGGAAGTCAGCAGAGGCTTAAAAAAGCCTTTGGGCCCCTACATCTACATGAGACAGACATGAGAAGCACCTGAAGCCTAGCTTCTGATCAACTTAGCTAGGTTGTTGTAGCTACATGTGGAATGAACCTGCAGGTGGAAGATATCTGTCTTCCCTTCTTGCTGTCTCACCTTCTCTCTGCCTTTCAAATAACAATAATCCTTTGTATTTCAGCTTTGGATTTTAATAATACTGCTCTAATTTTAGAATTGGAATAATTTTATTTTTCAGTGATGTTTATTAATCAATAACATTTGGGTGTGTGCAGGATAGCTTGTGGCTGGAAATTTGCACCAACCGGAAATGCATGCACATGAATGCATAAAAAAGATTTTTAAAGGTCACTGCATATATAAATCTAGATTCATTTTCAAAACACAGAAAAGCTGTTTCTTTGTTATTAGAAATGCTTTATAGTAAAAAGAGATCCATTCTCAAAATTACTTTCCAGAGTGAATAAGATCTCAATCATTATTATTACATTCATATCATTTGCAAGTTTAGTGGAAATGCAAGAGATACACATAGAAAAAAAAACACATCTGGAGCAATTAGAAACTAGGATAAATTCTTAGCAATGCCTGACATTGACATGCAGTGTTATGCCACAGTGAGTTAAGCTGGTACTTAAACCTAGCATTCCCTTTGGAGTGCTGCTGAGTACTGACCACTTGATTGCAAACTGATAGAATTATATTGATACTTCTCTTAACAAATTGTTAAGTCTGTGTATATGCATATTATGTTAGCTATTACAGACAAAATTTGACTCAAAAAATTTATTCTATACTGAAATATTCAGATTTTAAGTTGTAAATTGTCAAAGTAACCATCAACAATCTACCAAGAAATGATACTGTAGTATGTTCACAAACTGTGATACATGCAGGGATTAGCATCATTTTCTTCAAGAAGGTTCTTGATTTTCATTTCTTCAGCTACACGGTAGTCATTTAGTTGTTACTCATTGGTGTTGTTAATTTCTTTTCTCCCTGATGTTGATTTTGTTTTTGTGGCTTTTCATTTAAGGGGATGTATTGCAGCTGTGTAATGGAGACTGTCATATCTAGTAACATGTCATTTAACTTCATGGCATTATAAATTTCTATTTTTCTTTCTATTATTGATTTTGTATTATAGCTTTTCATTTGATGGGATGTACAGTAGCTGTGAAATGGAGACTGTCATCCAGATGTGAGGATACAATGCAATATGCATCGCTACTTCCAGACAAAGATGGACTTACAATGAAACTGTTTACTGTATCTTGACAGTAGGATTCTGGACTCTCTGCCATTGTCCATGCCCACAATGATGGACATCTGACTGTGTATGAAGAAGTATATGTTAGTAATGATATGGAGGAACTAGGTTTGGGGAAGGGAATTGGGACAGGGATAAGGGATATGCCAGGAGCCTATGGAATTATATCATAAAATAATAATAATAATAATAAAATGTAAAAAAGAATAAATATTATGTATAAGCAATATGAATTGATTTCACAAACCAAATATTAAATTGAACAAAAAGTCTCAGAAATTTATATGAAATATACAGTAATTCATATAAGATATCAATATGGGAAAAAATAAAATGTAATGTTAAAAGGCTATTTGTGCTTAGTTTAGGATTCAGTGATACAGGAATGGAGCTTATGATATGAAATTATTTATTTTCCTGATTTAAATACTGAGCATGAACACATTCACCTGTTTGTAAACTTTATGCTAAATATAATATTTTTGAATATTTTATTTCCATCAGAAAAAATGTTAAAATACAGACATAAGCCATGTTTTCATTTGTATAGAAGTATAACGCATATTGAAATATACATACATAATTCAGTTAGGCATGTATTTTTTAAATGTAAGAAAATGTCTACAAAAACAAAATCATTAGAATTTAAGTTTAAAATGGCACAATGGAATCAAATGAAAATTTTTACGATAAAGCAAGATAAAGCATGAGGATATAAAATGACATGTGTTCTATTGAAGGGAAAAAGTAATGTTGCTCAAAATTAAAAATTAACTAATTGATGTTATATAGAGCAGTATGAATTAAGTTTAAAGTGCTCTTGTTCCATGCAATTTATCAAATTCAAGAACACACCTTACATTTATCACTTCAATTGCATTTCTATATAAAACAACACTCTTCTGTGCTGGAGAAAGGTTGAAGTTTAGTTATCTGGGTGTGGAAAAAGTGGATTGGCCAAGTAAGTGCTTTAGATAATTACGGGAAGATGCTACTATGCACGTGGATATTGAGAAACTTGCATCGCATATGTGTAAGCATTGGCCAAAATTTATCACAGCATTTTCTAAATGTTGCTGTATTCAGTTTTCTTAAGGAAAATAAACATATTTTTCCATTCTATGCAATGAACCACAAGCTGAACTACGTGTATTTTAAATGTATTGATTTTTTTTTTTAACTCGAATCCATACTGGATTAAGGGCTAAGTTCAAACAAAGTAAAGTGGAAAAAAAAAAAAACTAACCAAAGGACCTATGTGGCTTATAAATGTTGTCTGTTGTAAAATCGTCTCTTGTATGACTGAGTGTTTTCACACAAAAATGCCCCCCAAAATCAATATAAGAATTAATGTTATAAATAAAAATAGAGATGTGTTGAAATTTTTTTTTTTTTTTTAATCTTAGGAGGTTTATTCCAGCGGGGTAGGAACAGGATGTTGTGGTGGACAGGTGAGGAGGAAGGGGGAGCTTCCTGAAATCTTAAAACAAGCATTTTTCATTTCTGAGTTTGATAAGTGCAAACGTGTATGCCTACAAACATGAGCAAGCAAGCTACACAAGCCTTGCCTCTCAGCTTTTTGGCTAGGATCAAGTGTTAAGGTACACAAGAATGCATCTTCATGCTTTTATGCATTTTCTTTGGTTTGTATTTTTTGAGCAAATGAACACAAAGTATTAATGCATCCGAGTTATGCACTTACAATAGAAATGGATTTTTCACAGGATTTTTTTTTTTATCTATTTGAGCTTCCGCTAGGGTTCCAAATTAGGTAATATTTCAATCAAATTTGGAAGAAATATACAGGAGCTATTACATATTATACAGCACTTATAACACTTACTTGGCAAAAACTTAAAGCCTATATAATCACTTTATACTCGTTGGAGTGATTTTGTTGTTTTTATGTAACTTTACATGAATGGTTTCTGCAGACTACTGTGAAGCTTTCTTTTCATTCAATATAAATTTAAAAAATATGCTGATACAAATAAATGTTTCCCTATCTATCCAGTATCCATCATTTTTTATCATCTACGTCTCTTTTGGTTTACCCATCTACTCATCTATCCATTCTCATCTATCCATTTGACTTGTTTGTGTATCCACTTTAAATAATGACAGTAATTCCATTCAGTGAGGATGCATTTTGCGACTTACATTTGGAGAGAATTATCTCAAATGTATCTGATTATACAAGGGTATGTAGATTCACGTGAACAGGCCATAAATATTTCTACATCTTTAACTCTTTATCCACTTGAAAAACAACAATCCCAAAGAGGTTATTGTCGTTTGAAGGTGACACTAATTTAATGGAAGATTGAAGCTTTGTACTCACAGATATGCTGCTTTTCCTTCTTCCAGTTCTTTGCTCTTGCCACTGGAGCCACTTTTCTTCCCACATATTCTCCTAGTGATGCACATCAATAACCCACATTGTCGAATAAAGAAGCAGCTGACATCTGCTACCACAAGGATTAGCAATAGGGCAGCAACTCCTAGGCCAATGACTGCTCCAAGTCCAAGACCATTAAAAAGTGTATCTTAAAAAATAAGATAAAAGTCATATTGTCAAATCCTCTAGTTAAAAGAAAAAAGAGACTGTTACTTTAAAAAGAAAATCTTGTTATGCTATATTCAGTGAGAGACAGAAAAAAAGTAATGTTAATTGGCAGGCTTCAGTTCCATGATGGTTGCAATTTATTCCCTGGTCTTCAAGGACTATTTTAAGTAACTTATATGCTAATGATCTGAACATTTTTATACATTTTCTTTTAAAAGTATTCCTAGCAAATCATTTTAAAAGTATAATGTTCATTCCCTGCGGAGAAGATAATTAATAATACCATATTCTTTACTTACTTTATGAGAAAGTCAGAGTCATTAACGGATTATATTAAACTTAAAAAATACTGTCAAAACTTACATAAGATAGCTGTTAAATAACTCTTCAATCTGGCCTTTTTCTAAGATTGAAATATGCAAATGCATGGCACCAGGTCCTTTATTTTGAAAATACACAAATTTTTAGACATTCGTTTATAGATATTTTTAAAGAATAATTTTAGATGGAATCATTTGCTTATAATTTTCAGTTGGTGTTTTAACAAACATGCTATGTTAGAGACATGTTTTACAGATTATTTATACTCAGGTCTCTTTAGGAGGTCATCTCATGAAAAAGTAAGGATAACTGCTGTTCTTTAGCATGTGCTTGCAGCAAATTTTATAGATCATCCATGGACGAGGTTAACAGGAATGATAGATCATGCTGATAAAGATCAATGGCGGGAGAAAAGGGTAGTGACAAAAATGCATCGAGCATTGTATGTTTATGGCTTGAATAGGTGGCTACACAGCTAAAATAATACTAGTAGGAAATCTAGATGAATAGAAGGAAGATCCAATTGATTGAATAATTATTTTATTGTGTTAAATTTAGGTGATTTTATATGTATTCAAAGTGATTCTAACACTTGTGTGTCAGGGATTTGCTGATGTAACATTATAGAACTTTGATTACCTTTTCAATAACAGAAACACAAGATATTCATAATAATAATAGAAAATGTTAAGATGTAGATCACAAGCAACAAAACCTAGTTATATTTATAAGTGTGTTTTAAATTTAACTCATATAAATATACGCAAAATATATCTTACATCATATATGCATTCAATATTTTAATAATGTCTTCAAGAAATGATCAATGTGGTTCATTTTCACTTTGATCTACTACCCCTAGCTTGATCTTGATTGATTACCTTTCTGAATTCCAGTGTATTTTTCTGTAGAATGGCAGCCTTACATGCACATTTACTTATTTTCTTATGTCCCAGAAAGGAGATTTAATGTTTTTTAACACTTGAAGATTGCAACAAGAACAAGGAAACTATTACGTTTGAGGACTTAAGCAAATTTTTGGATCACAGCTATTGGAACATAAGTCTGTTTTAACAGTTCTTTCATGAGTCAACAATTGAAAATCCCTTAAGAAATGTATCAGCAAACTTATAACTTATATGCCTCAACCTAAGAATGATGTAACTTTTACTTGATTCTTTGATTTCAGGAAAAATGTAACAAATAAAAACCACATACACAGTAGTATTTCCTTCTGTTAACATACTTTACCATGCTAATTAGATGGTTAAGAAAAAAAATATTCTGTGAATTTACTGGTGTTCATAGACTTTTCCCCTTATCACATGAACCTACTTTGAAGAACTAAAAAAAATGGTGATTTTTTTAAAATTCAAGGAACCCTGAAGAGAGTAAGATTTTAACTATTCACAATTTTTCACACGTAAAGTGAATATCCATGTGAAAACTTAACAAAAAAGGAATAGTACTCATGTCACACCAATAAGAAATCTTACATACTAATATTTATGTTTGGATTTTAAAGATATCACATATATTTTACTTCATGATGCATCTCCAAATATGAATGTTCTGAATGAATCTGTTATTACATAATTAATACATCTTGACCACAAAATAGATTATGTAAAGCTAAAATATTTTCTTCAAAGTTGATAAGTAACATTATTTTTGATGTGTTGTACATAACAAGACTCAGTAAACATAAGCACAGCAATACACACGTGTCAATCTTAATGCTTAAAACAGGTCACTTATTTCCCAATTCATAATTTTTCCCCAGATATTCATGTGTTTAAAACATATTGTGGAAGAGAAAAGTAGTAAGATTTGCCAAACACTGGTCCACAGTCAAAATGACATTACTAACAAGTGTTGAAAAAGCCATGTCCAAGCTCTTGACTCATCAACTGATTTATCCTTCGGCACATTAGCAATTAGCTAGATTATAATCAGAGCAACTGGAATTTCAGCTAGAGATTAAATAAAACCATTACCAGAAAAACACGTAAACATTCTCATTTGTCTAAGACTGGTTTTTCTGAATCCAAAAAGAAAGGACAGTGTTTACAAATGTACCCGGAAATTTGGATCTCCTGTTCAGAATATGAGACAAGATCCTTATCTTATACATTACACACAAACTCAATTCAAATTATTTCAATAATGCATATCTTTGTCCTGATACCATCAAAATACTAAAGGAAAAACTTGCAGAAACTATACAGGATGTAAATATAAACAAAGGCTGCTTAGAAAAGACACCAGAAGCACAATTACGCAAAAAGAAAAAAAGAAAGAAATTACATCATGTCAGGAAGCCTCTGTCCTGCAAAGGAAGTCATTCATAAAGTGAAAAGACAACCAAAAAAACAGGGGAAAATATATGCAAATTATGCATACAGCTGATGGAGGTTGTATTAATTAATAACTGTAAATAACTCAAGAAATTCAAAAACAATGAAACCAAAAAAATCAAGAAGTAGCTGAGGGATATCAATAGACAATTTTCAAACCATGATATGCAAATGATGAACAGAGACATGAAAAATTGCTCAATAGTCTCTAGCCAACAGGGAAAAATAAATAAAACCCACAATGAGACTTCCCCTCACCTGAGTAAAAAAGGCTGTTATCCCCAAATCAAAAAATAATTGGTGGGAATATAAACTAATACAAACATTATTGAGGAGGGCTCAGAGATAACTCAGAAATTTAAAAATAGATCAGGGAGTTCACTCAAGCAAAATGAAATTGGCATATGCATTTTTTTCTTTCCTTTTCTTTTTTTGAAATTGTATTTATTTATTTGTTTATGTGTTTATTTTACTTAGCTCATAATGATTAGGACATAAAATCATTCCAGATATGTTCATTGCTAGTTGGCTGGATAAATAAAATGTTGCATGCATGATGGAATACTCCTCAGTTATAAAAATTAATGAAATCAGGCTGGGTTCAAATGGTCAATTAGCTAATTCCTCACCTTGCAAGTGCCAATATCTCATATGGCTTACAGTTTGTATTCTTGCTATTCTATTTCCTATAAAGCTTTCCACTTATGACCTGAGAAAGCAGTAGAAGATGGCTGTAAATCGTGGGTTCCTGCACCCACATAGGAGACCCAGCAGTGTCCTGAAGCCTGGATTTGAATTGGCTTAGCTCTGGTCATTGTGGCCATTTGCGGAGTGAACCAGCAGATACACGACTTTTCTGTCTGTCCTTTCCTATGTAAATCTGATCGGCCTTTAAAATTAAAAAAAAAATGTATCTTAAAAATATATAAAAATGAATGAAGTCCTATTCTTTGAGCAAAATGGATTAAATGCAAACTACTCATTATGCTTAGTGGAATAAGCCAGTCCCAAATAGGTAAATATAATATTTTTCCTGAACTTTCATAGTTCATTTGCAGAGTACAAAAATGTAATCCATATGAGTTGAACTGACATTTTGAGGTTTTATTATTTTTATACTCTTTTCCATAATATTGAGATATAATGCTTTTTTCAGTTTGCTATTTTCTGAAATTTACCCAACGAAATGTTAAGCCTTTGATTGCAAAGTGAACTGAATATAAACCATTCTAAAATCAACAACAATAACATCAAATAGGAGGAAATAGGGAGAGTGGGGAAATAGGACAGAAGGGAAGGGAAGGTCAGAAGTATTACTATGCGCCTAAACCTGGATTGTGAAATAGGTGAGATATGTTCATTCGACATAAGTAAAATGAGTTTTAACATGTTAACATTTCCTTCTCATTCACACTTGAATGATATTCGTGTGTGTGTGTGTGTGTGTGTGTGTGTGTGTGTTTTCCACCGTGGCTGAACTGACAATCTCACCAACAATGTAGAGGAACTGCTGTTGCGCCACATCCTAGCCAGCACTGGTTGCTACCTACTTTTTGGATAATATTCATACGGGCAGATCTAAGATGGTATCTCAATTTGGCTTTACACTTTTTATACCTCCACCCCTCCACACACACACTTTATGACACAGTTCCATAGGTTCTGAGATTTCCTCCCAATGTTTCCCAAAGCTCCTCTCATCCCGCCCCCCCCACACACACACACTGATTTTACCTATTTTATTGCAATAGTATAATCCTTTGCTTTTCCCTGATGGCAAGTGATCGTGTGTGTGTGTGTGTGTGTGCGTGCGCGCGCGCACAAATTTGATGTCTGTTTATATTTCTCGGGAGAACTGTCTATTGCAGTACTTTGTCCATTTATCTCCAGAATTTATTTCTGCTTTTGCATCTTCTGAATTGCTGATATTCTAAATATTGGGCCTTTGTTGGAGAAGCAGCTTGTAAAATATTTTCTCATTTTGTTCAGTGTCTTTTCTAGATTTTCTGTTTGCTATGCAAAAGTTTCTAAGTTTGCCGGGGTACCATCTATCTAGCTTTGCTTCAATTTCCTATGCTTTGGGAGTTTTATCAAAGAAGTCATCATGTACACCAGTCTTAAACCGTTCCCACCACATTTTATGCTGCCAGCTTCTGGGTCCCAGGTTTTAAGTTTAAGCCTTAATATATCATGATTTGACTTCAGTATATATAAATTGTTATGTAATATAATTGAATATATCTATCTAATTCTGCCAGAGATTAGCCTTTCTCAAATTCATGATCTGAAAACTTTATCATAT